AAGTGTTGAACTGTATGCCATTTAAACTGAGTCCGAATGCGACCAAGAAGATTGAAATCGCGTTCACACCTGACTTCACTTTGTCGCGTATCGAGAGGAAGCTTCTTATATCGACGAGTTTAGGTTCGGACAGTGACATCGAAAACGGCATGGTGACGCTCAATTTACTCGCTACTCTTCCACCGCAATCTTTGGAGAATTGTACAGCCGCGCTTGCAAGACCGTCGTGGGAGTACGCTGTGCAATGGGCGGCCATGAGTCTTTCTTCGGTACTTTTAATATGCGTCCTTGCCATTTCGTTTCTCGAGGCAGACCGAATACTACGCGGAGCATTGGCCAGTTTCTCCAGGGAAAGTGCAGTTCAACCACCTTTCGACCTAAGACTGCTGTCCCACATGCCAGTACATTCTACGCAAGAGTCGACCTTCTTGAAGGAGAAGTTGATAAACGAGGAGAAACAAAGAGTGATAAAAAAGGAGGACACGCATCCAGACTGGGCGCTTATGAACGTGAAAAAATACAAGGAGAATGTTCAGAAAGGACTGAAGATACCCGATTGGTCCACGGAGGAGGAACGTAGATTTAAATTAGATACCGAGGCAAAAGATTTGTTGTCGTTCAAACGATGCGAGGAGCCTACGTTGGATAACGGTAATAACGTCATAAGCAATATCGCGCTTGGCGCCAAAAAAAGGAATAGTAAGAAACAGAATAACGCGCAGGATATTCAGACGGAGAACTGTACGACGGAAAATGTGTTCCCGGACGTTCAGGGAATGCAAGAGAAGAAGTATACCGTAAATGCGTTTATAAAGTCGAGTCCTGTAACGAATAGAAAAGGGAAGTCTAATCAAATTGGTAACGTTAAGGAGGAAACGAAACTGGTCGATCACGAGGTTCAAGTTGACACCACGGGACTCTTGAACAATGCTCGCAGCAGTAAATTGGACAGCAAGAGGAAACAGAGTACTGTTGGAAATAGCAATAATAACCACGTGAATTTTAAGAAATTCGATTCGAACGGTAGCCAAAGAAGCATTCATCTCTCGGAAGAAGAAACGTCGTCTACGACAACGGAAAGTTCTGTTCAAGACGATCCACCGACTTGTAAGGTGAGGTTGTTAATGAATGGGTACTTTAATATCGTCTATTACTTTCAGGCATATTTATATTTGTAATATTAATTATTGCAGAATTTCGATCAGCCTTGCGGCAAATCGGAGAAATTGCAAAGGAAACCAGTGACCAAGAAGACTAAACCACAATCAATTGTCCCGGTGCCATGCGTAGATTATAGAGACAATTACGAAGGTGACTGCGACGATGACGAGTACGACAAAGAAAGGCAGAATAATCCCAACAGATGGAAAACAAGTACAACAAGGTCCACCATAAAACATCATATTCATACATCGCGCACTGTCGAATCGTCCTTCAAGTTACCTCGACAAAACAAGAACCCTCCTAGGAAGGACAAAGGATCTCAGAAACGTCGTGGCATCGACAAAGCGCATATGAAAAGTACATATTATTTTTATCCATCCTACTTGGAACATTCGAATGAAATATTTTACTTTTCAGCGACATCCTTAAACGGAAATACTAGCCAAAGGGAAGATTCAACGCGTACATTGGGCGCAATATCTGCTCCGTTGCCTCCACCGCCGTCGTGCTGGGGTGAAAACAGAGCCAGATTCAGCGATGTTGTAGCAAGAAGTCAAGAGAGTATTTCGCCATTCTCGAGCTTAAATAAATTACACAAAACTCAAACGACCACGCATAATTTGTCGATGGTCTTCGCTAACGACGCCAAAGATATAGATTACGCTAAACAGCAATCAAGTCAGGATATAATGCAAAATACAAAGGAATACAGAATGGTATCTATGTCACCGCCTCTCTGTGTTCAAACTATTGAAAAGGAAAAGACGTTCAGTCAGGATTCCTTGAAAATCCAGAACTGTTCACAGCATTCGAATAGTTATTTCATGAATGCTTTTACAGAGCCTCCAGTAAGTTAATTTACCTACTATTTTCCTATTACCTTCTTATGTATAATGGTGTATATCATACTTGATGCTTTTCAGTTTGAACGAGAATTGGTGCCGTATGACGATCTTCCAGAAACGGATGAACCTTTAATGGAATTGGAGAGCCCCGAGGAGGACACACGATGCCAGTTATGGGAAGACAATAATCCTGTGTTCAATTTACTTTCCGATGGTACAAGTGGATATCAGTCAGAACCACCAAAGTCCTCAGAAAAACCTCCGATGCTAACAGACACCTTAAGGGGTAAGACATACGCACACGTACAATGAATTTTTCTAAATATTCAAAACGAATAACGTATCATTATCGTTTCGAAATTGTAGATAATTGGGCAACAGTCGAAACAAATTGGGAACCACTTTACACTAGGGCGGCAGTAGGAGAAGAAAGAAGCGGTGTCTGGGGTGTGAATACTGGAGGTGTGTGGGCTGCAGGTCCATGGGGTGCAGCTACACCGCCAGTAGGTTCGCGGCTGACCTCGTTACATACGGAAACGGACACACAAGTAAGTTGACAAAAACATTTAAAGTAGGAAATGAACTTTATCTTATTCTATTAACTAATTCCTATCGCAGGAAAGATCAGGCTTTGATCCGTTTCGTTCACTGAGTACGATATGGACACCGTCATCCGCAGAATCTTGGAAGAAGAAGCACGAAGACTAATCTCGTTCCCAGTATTCCCGATATTGTATCTTGTGATATCGTAGACTTGGTTGAGCGATTTTCTTTTCTAATACGAAAAGTAATAACATATTTATTAGCGACACTTTTGTGATCGATAACGCTTAAAAAAGAACTACTGGCTGGTTTTTGTTACTCATGTTTCACATATTTGTGATATGTTGTTGAATAGTACCTCGCATAATAATACCGAATATTTTTCGGGCAAAATTGATTTGTACTCGTTAAATCTTCACGTTATCATTTGTTGATCTATGTTTTTATTGGGATTCGGATGTGGTACGTCGAAATTTCTTCTATCGCTACAAGATCGCACGTTTCTCTTTTGTTTTCTTTCTTTTCTTTTCTTTTCTTTTTTTTTCAAATAGTTTCGAGTCTAAATGGCCAACCGAAATCGTATACCTGAATTCGAAGTGAGATCTTCGCAGCAATCGAAGCACAGGTTATTCGAAATGACAAATATTGTAAATGTAAAGAAAATTTCAAGTTCATGGATTTTTACCTCTTTGTTCTATCACCTTCGTTTCTGTCGTACTTTCTACACAAAACGTACATAGAAAGTAATTACAATACTCAGAAAACGTTGGTCTTGGTGTTACACAAAAGGTAATAATTAAGTTACTTGAAACGAGTGAGAACTGTGATTTTTATAGTCTTGACTTGTAGAAATTTCTTCGGTAAGTTTTCAAAATATTTTACAAAGTTGTGATGTATACAAAACAAAATAAAAATGTGTACCTACACTTCAAGACTGGTAACTGATGTGTTTTAATAATTTGAATCTTATTTTTACGTATTAAAATCATTAAAAATTTGCTCAAAATGCTCAGAACATAGTGTTTTATAATTTTCTAAAAAATCTCTTACTATTTTTTAAATAGTGCTTATGAAAATAATGATTAAAGCTACGTTTTATGAAAAAAAGTAGATACCTTGTTGTAAACAAATATTTCCAATTATTTTTATAAATTTTTTTGTTATGTTTTCAAAAAGTACCATGTTCTTTTAAAATGTTGTATTCCATGGCACAAAGAATAAATTGTATCACAATTATAATGTTTGTACTACAAGCCCTTAGGTTAAAGAGTAGAAAATCTGGCAAATACGAGTTTCTTGGAAAAGATAATCGGGTTAGTATAAAATATATAAAAATAGTATTTTTGTTGCAGATTATAGAATTGTCTGTCTGCAGCCAGGTTTCGACATGTTCATAACCCGTGATTTGGTATGTTGCAACCTTTGCAGAAGTAACTGCAAATATAAATGTATTTTTAGCAATAATTTATAATAATTTTACTTGAAATGCCTATACATACTATATTTTCACTTTCAATTTTCTTCTGTAACTTTTTTCTGTTTATCTCCGAGCTGCTCATCCGTAATTGCGGTATATTTTCACGAAGTAATTTCTCTTTTGGTCTTTGTTGAGCCATTATTTTTTTTAGAAGAAGCTGGTTCTCCCATTCGATTTTTCTAACTTGTTCGCCTGTAAAGGTCATGTTCTTCTTCTTACTTTTTACCAGTGTTAATGATGCAGATTTGTCTTCGGTTATCGAACTACCGCAACGAACAGAGTTTTTGACTTGATCGTCATGTATCACTCTGTTGCATCTTGTTTCTTCATTTCCAACGTCTTCCTTTGCGCATTCACGATCAGTAATTTTAGATGAAATATAGGATTCGTTGAAGGTCCTTGTGGTGATATTTGTCTCCTCGGACTCATCGCAAGACTCATCGGAACAGAACGATTCGTTGCTGTAATTCGAATCATTGTCTTCGGTCTCTTTTGTTAAGTCTGTAGTATTTTCAACATCTTTAGACGTTGCAGATTCTTGATCACAGATGTACTCTTCATCGGTGTCTTCTTCGACCACTTCGTGAATGCTGGGAACATGGTTAAAATTATCCTTCGTTTCGGAAAATTGACCCCGAACTACTTCATTCGTTAATGTCAGCGTATACTGACATTCGCAATTGGCTTCCATATTTTATTAATCAAAGAGAACAAAAGAATTATTATAATCGTAGAGAATTAAGGAAAGTTAAGAGGTTGAGAAAATCAAGTGATAGCGCATTAGTATACTTTCTGGTAACCATATCAACAGAGTATCATAACAATAAAATATGTATGACAAGTTCTTATCAAACATGGTGTGACGATCGCCATATGCGATCGTCCTTGACGCACATGTCTCACATACTCTTGTTCGCTGATTGTCATAAGAAATACATTAGGAAAGATGAAGGGAATAATTGTGCAGTATTTTTTTATACAATGATATATTTAATTAAAAAAATCTAAAAATATTTATTCAATCATTGGCAAATCCAAATACTTTTAGGCTACCAGCATCTCGTTTCCTGTCATAAGTATCTTTATCATCGCACGCATATGCTAATAAATATTGCTTTGGATGCCATGCCACTGTAAAAGTTGCTGCTTCTACAGGTATATCTGTGATCTTCTCTCCAGTTTCCACTTCACCGATATCTATAACGAGATCTTCGGATGCTGCAGCCAACAACTGTCCATCATATGAAAATGATATAGTTCTCACTGGCCATTCTAATCTCGAAAACGTTCTTAAACAACATAATTCATCTGCATCCCATAAGGAAACCAATGCATCCGCAGAACCAGTAGCAAAGTATCTTCCAGTGGGATCAAATTCTATACAAATACATGTTCCAGGATGTGCTTTAATTACATGTAACAACTCTAGATCTGGGTAGCTAAGAATATGTACACAGCCTTGACCATTAGTAAGATAAAAAGTATCAGAGTCTTTATTCCATGAAATTTCATTTACTTCAAAGTTAAATTGTTCTTCTGCACGAATTTTCATTACTCGAGCATCAATGAAGGTTACTAAATCTTCCTTATTTCCAACTGCTATCGTATTGCCATCCGGTGACCAAGAGATATTAATATTTTCTCCTCTTGTACTGATATTCGCTGTACATTTTTGAGTTCTTGTGTCCCATATACGAACTGTTTTGTCTCCGCTCGCAGTAGATAATAGTTCTGGATAAAAAGCATGCCAGCATAATTGGTCCACGCTGCCACCATGCCCCTTAAATGTTGTTTCTTGTTTCTATAAAACGTAAAAAAAAATAAAGTGACATAACCTCAGATAATATTCTACGTAAAAACGTTATCATTAATTGCACGAAATAGAAAATAAGTAGTAAGTAACTAAACGCTCTAATAAATTGACAGATGAATATCTCAAAGGACTAACTAATAGAAATGATTACAAAAGATAGAAATTAAGTCGATAGTGTAGGTTATGTTTATTTACCAGACGATCGGGTCCAAGAGAAAAAATGCAAACAGATTTATCGAATGAGCCCGAAGCTAATAGTTTTCCATCGCAACTCCAACCTACGCTGTGTACTTTAGCAGAATGACTTTGTTGTTCTCTGATTTTATTATGGGACTTGAAATAATTGATTAGTTCTTCGACGCGAGAAGCAGACATTGTTGTTTCTTAGGTTCATAGTTTATGGTTTAGTGGTTTTTCTAGACCCCTGGCGACAAGATGGAATAAGTTGCGACTGTGCTTTCGTTTAGTGTGATTTCGCCTTAAAAATGTATTAGGATTTTCTGTCGTACGGTTGCCTAGGTAGCCACAGGCGACCAAGTATGTTTGGCGTAAACAAACTGGTTTTCTGACAAGCTGAATCGTTCTGTGAAAATCAATCGCGTATGACAGTTCCCGTTAGAACGTATCGACAAAATGACATCTCTAGATTTAAGACAACAAAAACTCGAACAACAGGTACAGAATATACATAATTAAGTTTTAAACAGTTTTACGTGGAATAATCTATGTGTTTGACTTTTGTTTGGATTCCAATTGTGTGTTTCATACATTGAATGCTTCGAGAAACAAGGATATTGTTCAAATTTAACGTATTTTACAAATAGAACACTCTTTTTTCCTGTTTAAATGTCTTCATTATATATGTGTGAAACACACAGTTAATTATAAACGAAATTTGAAGTACACGGTCACATTTAAATATTTGCTACATCTATATCCACCACTTATAAAATGCAGTGTAATTGTTTACAGAGGCAATTAATTGCACAAAAAATGAAACAAAAAAGACAAAGTGGTGCAGGTGGAATGGTACAAGCATCAAACATATCGACTACTCAGCTTACAAGTCATTCTACAAAGTGGATGAATCCGAATAAAGAACTTCGAGGTAACTTTGATAAACTGTATAAAAGTGAATATAATAGAATGTATACTGTATATTTAATTATTTTGTTTGCAGGATATGATGGACCATTAAAGTTTAATATGTCACAGGCAAGTCCCGAGTTAAGCAGTTTTGCAGAAAATAAGGATATAGAAACAAGAATAAACGGTATATTTAACGATATTATATAAATTTTAATTTCTAATATTAGTTATTATGTATAAGACACTGTATTTTCTATTATAGACGTCAGTACAGAAGGAGGTTTTTATCAAACTATGGAAGCAACCGACTGTGCAGATGAAGAATCATCACCTATAGATGTACATTCACCTTCAGAATCCCTACCATGTCCATCACCTCTCAGAGTAGCACCATCCGATGGTGCAAGCATGCTTATCGGTAGAGATAATAATTCTTCGGTATGCATAAAACGATGATTACCTTAGGCGAAGGTTTAATAATTTAGAAACTAACGTGCTCGTCGTTTTTTTTTAGAGTCCAGAATTAGAAGGAAACGTGGAAGGGAATATTGACCATTTTGTGTTGCAACCGGCAAATAAAAAGATGCATTACAAGTGCAGGATAACGCGTGATAGAAAGGGCATGGATCGCGGTCTTTATCCGACGTATTTCTTACATTTAGAACGTGATTATGGGAAAAAGGTGTCTATCGTTTTTTGTACAAATTCAATTTTTAACTCTTGACAGATTTATAAAAAAATTTTGATCTCATACAGATTTTCTTATTGGCTGGTCGTAAGAGAAAAAAGAGTACAACTAGTAACTATCTAATTTCAACCGATCCCACGGATCTTTCGAGGGGTGGAGAGTCTTACATTGGAAAATTAAGATCGAATCTTTTGGGAACGCAATTCACCGTTTACGATAATGGATATTCATTGATGAAGGACGATAAACGGGATGAACGATTCAATCCCAGACAAGAGTTGGCTGCAGTGATATACGATACGAACGTTTTAGGATTCAAAGGACCGCGGAAGATGACCGTCATTATTCCAGGAATGACATCAGACCAAAAGAGAGTCGAAATTTGTCCGAGAGACGAGTCTGAAACTTTACTCGGTTCGAAGTTATTTCTTTTTCTAGTAGTTTGTTTGTTGTATCGATACTATTTTTACTAAACGTTACCTTTACAGAACGTTGGAAAACGAAAAACATGGACAATTTAATAGAATTACACAACAAGACTCCCGTATGGAACGATGACACGCAATCGTACGTGCTTAATTTTCATGGACGAGTAACGCAAGCTTCTGTCAAGAATTTTCAAGTTGTACATGATAGCGATGGTCCGTATTTTATACGTCTAAGTTTTAAACGCCTACAACGTGAACCGTTTAACCGAAATGATTTTATTTTACAGTTGATTATGTTGTAATGCAATTTGGTCGCGTGGCCGAAGACGTATTTACGATGGACTACAGATTTCCACTGTGCACGCTTCAAGCATTCGCCATTGCTTTAAGCAGTTTCGATAGTAAACTAGCTTGCGAGTAGGCGTGCATTGTCTGACGCAACGTTTATCACGTGTTTGCGACTGGTAAAGTATCTCGGTCAGGATAATCTGCAATGGACAATCACTAGATTGAAATGTCTCTTTTTTTTTTAAATAGAATTTTCGCAATGATAACTGTTCTATGAAAACCTGACGTACTAATAATCAGTATAAATCGTGTGTTCACTTTTCTTATATATGGAAAACGTTTTTAAGTATTCAACGTATGTGTATGGTAGTTAGCCCGGTTCACGCGTTAAAACATTATACTAATACACTGCACAATTTACTGCCCAACAAGATGAAAATATTTCTTTCTGTTAAAAATGTACAGATATACATATACATTATTGTATATACGTTTGTTCGAGCACAGACTTGATAATTAAATAGTGCAAAATTTATCTAAATTTTGTGTACTTTTGAACATGGATATATCGCTTTAAACAATACAATGGAAGCAAGTATGTATTCGCCGACAGTCCTAGAACGCAATTACTGTTTACATATAAAGAAATTATTGCACTATATAATTATCATTTTTTTTTTTTTTTTTACACACTTTGTTTGGTTATATTCCCATTCAATCCCCTTTTAAGGAGTTTTTTTTTTTAAAGTGCACCCATACGAGAGATAATTATATATTTCACTTCAAGATTAAAACATTATTCCAAGTACATATCAAACATATTTATTCTACATAGCTTATCAGACAAACAGAGAGAAACTTTATGAGATCGTGAAAGATTGCAAAGATGTTGAAAAGTTTGTAACTTTGTAGATTTTATACACGAATTTTATTTGTAACAAAGCGTTACATGAAATGAACATATAACTTGAAGAAACAAAAGGGTTACTACTTGAAACTGTTAAAAGAAGTCTTAAAAGAACAAAAATACTAGTATATATATATATGTAATAAAAACAGTATTAATATTATTTAAAATGCCAATTGGATATTTTATAATAAGTGTAATATTTCATTTTTCATTTTAATAATTTAGATATGAAAAACTATACTACTTTAATATATGTGTGTATTAGGAAACAATTGAATAAATCCTGTAATTAGCTTATCACGTTTAACGTTGTAAATCAAAGTATTCATTGGATATTATATTTTCAATAATCACCCGAAGATGAATATAAACTCTAAAAGAAAGGTTGTTTTTTTGTTTAAAAATTGAACGCGGGTAGTTACTAGAATGCATTGAACTATACTTCAGTAAATAAATGTTTAATTAATATATTAGAATAATAGATTATAGCGTTATAAAGCAAAGAATCGTATTAATTACGCATTTATGAGAAATAAAAGATAATGAATTAAAATATCGTTGTGGCGCCATCTAGCGGCTACAGCGAGAACTATTTTTTTACTACAAACTTGGGGGTTTTGTCACCGATGACGCCACCATAGCGTATGGGGTTCTGATCTAAGCTTGAAAAATTAGTTTATTCTTTTGATCGCGAGATGGCGGTATTGGGCGGTATCATATATATACTAATATAATACTAGTATTAAAATCCACTGTCATAATGAGCATGCTTTAGTTTGGCAGACTTAGAAAACAAGTGGGGGAAAGTATTCTATTTTTTTATGCGTATTAGGTCCGACTGAAATTAACAATTTCTACAATGTCTATGGTAAGGATATTGATAATTTGCAACTATGCGAATTTTCATACCAATTTTGTACATTTATACCTATTATTGAAACGAATTAAGCAATATTTATTACAAAAATAGTTTGACACATTTTCTAACCTTAATATCTTTTGGTATGAAACACTCTAAATTCATTGAATTAAAATTATAAGTAAGACACTTGTTATTGAAACATAACCAAATAATGCTTGTTTACGGATCATTTTAATTAATGTAAATGATACAAATGATCTTATATATTTAATGTTCAGCGACCCGATGATCACAGACGAAAATGGAACAGAGAAGAATACGAAAGAATAGCTCTTCAGCGTCTCCAAGATGAGATTGCTGAAGAGGAGCTGGGAATTCCAAAACAACCAGCTGTAAAAAGGGAATTGCTTAAACAACGAGATTATAAAGTCGATCTTGAATCTAAATTAGGAAAGAGTGTTGTTATTAACAAAAACACACCATCTTCCCAGACTGGTGGGTAAGTATACTAAATGTTTATAATAAATAATTCAAGCATATGAACAACATTAACATGGTAATATATTTACAGATACTATTGCAATGTCTGTGATTGCGTCGTGAAGGATTCAATTAATTTCTTAGACCACATCAATGGAACAAAACGTAATATTGGCATTTTGTTTTGTTAGTTATACATAACGTAATACTTGAACAATTTTAACTCTTGGGTTTCTCTTTTAGATCAGCGTAATTTGGGTATGTCAATGAAAATAGAACGTTCTACGTTGGATCAAGTTAAAGCCCGTTTTGCAATGAATAAGATGAAGTTAGAAGAGAAAAAAAAGGACTACGATTTAGAACAAAGAGTAAAAGAATTAAAGGAAGAGGTTTGTTTTCTTTTACGGATATATTTTTTCTGTATATCTTATTTATTACCCAGTTTTTTTTTTTTTGTTATTTATAGGAGGAGAAGATTAAAGAATACAGGAAAGAGAAGAAGAAAGATAAGAAAAGAAAAATTGAAGAAGCAAACGAAGACAATGGGGGACCTTCCGATGAAATGGCCGCGATAATGGGTTTCTCAGGTTTTGGCTCTAAGAAAAAGTGATAATGATCCATTTATGGGTAATTCATGAAAAAGAATGCCTTTTGATAACGCATCTTTAGTAAAGACAATGGTCATTTAACCGATAACTTGCAAATGTTTCATTTGAAATATAACATTGAACACTGCACATTGATCAGGGATAAATAAGACTGATCTTAGAAAAGAAAAGCTTTCTTTGATATCAATAATTAAGTTTTCACACGCGCGTAACAATTTAATTTATACATTTCTTGTATAATCAATGTTGTAAGTGTATAGATATTTATCTCCGCTCGAAATATCGAACAGCAATTAAGTCGTTAAACATAATGAAAGTATGCTAATTTAGTAAATAAACATTAATTGATAGAAGCAAATATCGTAACATAGATTTGGCCTTACGAATTACATTTACCGTTATTAGACCTTAGATTTACAGCAATACATAAATTAAGCTTTATAAAATATATTTACCGTTTTTCTGGACCAGCAACGTAACAAATATTATTTAAATAATATCGTGTAACTTGTCAATAAAATGATAAATTTTATAAAATTGAGTGTGCCGTTTTCAAAAATATAATACTTGTAATTTATATAGCAAGAATGTTTTCGGAGATAATAGGATCGAAAGAAAAGACGCAAGCAAAGCCACAGTGTTAATCATTTCTCTAACTTTCTCTCTTGCGCAGTGAATCCCTTCTTCTTCGTCTTAACCTCGAGTAAAAGAAGGACAACGCATTCCAGAATGAGAAGTTGTATCAAGACGAGCACGCACACGCGCGCACATCATACGACTCTCTCTTTCTTTCTTTCCGAGGTTGAGGAGAGAATGGATCGAGGAAGATCGAAACCAAGTATAAGTGCGCTCCTCCTACCTAGAGCTAAGCTCTCGGGACCGTTTACTCGGTTCATCTTAGCACCGTAGTCCGGTCCCAACTCCCAGTGTACTGTGTAGTGTGTAGTCGACACTCGTGGCCACGGACCGTCCACGAGTGCCGCCATATTTTCGAAGGTCAGCTCATCCGTCATCCAGGAATCGGAGGTCGTTCCTCCGCGAACCAGTTTACAGTTTCCACCACGTGATTTCTGATCAACTGTATGGCCAAGTGCACGTGCGTCAAAGGTGCGCTCCAATTTGACGTTTCCTCGTACTTTTTCCCCTCTTACGCGAATCAACTGGAAATTCCCGCTCAAAATTAGAGAATTCAGAGTCGCGAAAGTTGCGAACCGCGAGATTCGCGCAATAGACTATTTATGAAAGCAACTTTGTGGAGTTTATTTCTTACATGTTAAAATTTTGTGAAAGATGTGAGAAATCGAGTGATATTGGCGTGACGTTGCTGGACTTGGACAAATTTCGAGCGTCTTTATGGTACGCTCCGTAAACAGTGTTACCTGGACCTCGACGCACTTGGTCGTGTGAAAAAGCAACGAATACGATCAACGATGCCCCGAAATCTCCAACCGATCCAGGAATCGAACTCTGGGAAATCGAGTAAGTTTGCAAGCTATTTGCTTTGAATGAATAAATTTGAAAAAATACATTTTTCTTTAATATACATTCTACAGTGGCTCGTCGAACAAGAACTCATGCAAGATGCTCGTTTGCGGCGGAATTTCAAAATAAAAATGACGCTTTTATTTGATAATAATTAGAGACCCTATTTAATCAAAATTACCATTTTGCAACAAACGGTTGTCGTTGAAAAAGCATTATTTCGTCAAGAGCATGGTTAAATAGACGATCACGTAGGTCTGCGATGTCTGAGCGTTATAAACACGTACGGTAAAGCACGGCTTCTTGGTCTGAAACGACGCGCACTTTCCCTTTTCTTTTCCACGGAAGTGAAAATGACCGGGCTAGAGTGAATTCTGTTCATTATACGGCGTCTGCTCACGGTTCTTTTTTCCAACTCTTGTTTTCAGAATTTCTGTTCACTCGTGCGCGATCGATCGCCTCTGTCGAATCGCTCTACCGAGACACTCGATCGCTCTTTGTCGTTTGATATACGAGCTGCCCACTCGTCGAATCGATTAACTCTACGAAACCAAAAAAAAAAAAAAAAGGAGTTATTCAGTCACATGTCGATAAAATTCGAAACATTTTTTAAACGATAAACCCGATATAAGGAAAACCTGTGAAAGATTCGTTTAACGTGACTCGAATGAGTTATCAGGATTCTTTACAAGCTTAGTATTTAAGGTCAAGGGAAACTCTTAATTTCGAGTCCACTTTTCTCTGTTTATTTATCCGCCAAGTGATTTTTATTCAATTAAATACGCATTTATCGCGAGCGCTTTTTTAAAATTTTTCTTTGATCACTGTCATTATTAACGACATAAATATCCCACGATCACGACTCTCTGCTTTCAATCGAGTTTCAGAATGTAAACGTCGAAAGTCTTGGAAAAAATTTATTCTCGGAATTGTCTCGCGATCAACGGTAACTTTTCAAACGACTTTTCGCGACAAGACGAGAGTTTACATTTAGCAGAACTTTCTGAAAGTCTTTCCATGTCCAATTTCTAAGAGGTGCTCGTAGAATGTCGTGTCTCGTAAGTAGGTACTGTCCTCGATCGTTGCAGGTTCCTCGTTTGTGGATCGAACTGAAACGAAAAACAAGTTGGTCACTTTTCATTCCAAGATTAATCGCGTTCAGGTTTACCTTTAAACGTAACTTTGGATCGCTGACCTACCCTTTCGACGACGGTTTTATTTCTCGTTTATCTTGTATTGCGAGTTCACTCTCGTTGACGCGGTAACACATGTTCGATCAGAGTTCAGATTAATCGTGTAGGGACCGCAGCTATGTTTATCTGCGTATGTAGCTACAGTACGGGTGTAGCAATCCCGAGGTACCCTATCTAGAAAGTACAAACTCTATTAGTAATACGAGCAAAATGCAAGTACAAAGGAATGTAAAGCAGCTGCTTTTCTAATTTGCGAATTTTACGGGAAGGGACCGCATCGAGTCTGACCGCTAAGAGAATAGCAGCGACAGAGAAACCTTGCGCCGTGGATCGAGCCTAAAAAAGCTTTGTTATCAAATAGAAAACGAGAATCACAATTACCGTGTTTAACAGAGCGGATCTAGACTCGCCGCGCTGCCGTCACGGTGCGATTTCAACCGTCATGCGACGCGATTGAATCACAATTTTAATTTAATTACACGCCCTTGGCATCGAGTTATCTTATTAAAAACTCGCGCGCAGAATGTCGAACGCGATACCATCGCGTTTCCTTTAATTCTTATAGATTATATTTTGTACAATTAAAAACCACCATGAGATCGAGGACTACCTGTTTATTTATTTCGTCCATCACTGCACTCTAGTCTCGGTAGCAAGAAAAGTTGAGAAAAACACTCTTGGTCACACAAGTCTTCAGCAGTTCTAGTTGTTTTCGCCGTTGAAAGAATACTGGCCGCTCCAAACCGCGCCACGAACAAGTCTACGAGGACTCTAGAGGAACATCGTTGACTGTGTTCTAGGATTCAGAAGGACCTAGAAAACGCAGGATAAACAGACAAACGGGAAAAGTCGATCGCTCGAGTTCGTTCCGGTGTTTTTATGAGCTCGCAATAGGTGTGCAAGCATTACACTTTTTAGTTCCGTCTTGTAGTTGATTCCTCTCGCGCGAACCGCTACACCACGATTTACTGGACACCCTGACACGATTTACAGGACACAAGCGTCGCCATGACGTCGCGAGTTTCTACAAAGGTCTGCGTTTACCAATTTTTCTAGCGGTACACTATAATGTCTAGCTATTTACCGGGAAGAATTTGCCGTTGGAACATCGGTGTAGCCGGAGTGATTATCGAGCAGAAACGCTTCGACCTCTAACACCTGTCGGAGAGTCACGTTTCTTCCTTTTAAACCCAAGCAGTTTCGCTTGTAAGAGGAGAATGAAGGGACTCGAAAGTTGAGCCTCTAGACGGAGGATGTACGGTGCACGCGTGAAAAGACCCTGTTTCTATTTTACGATAAGCTAACGGGCCTCGGCAATATGCGTTGACAACAGTTGCTCCTCGCGTAAATTTCTCAGTTTCTAATGCGCACGTTGAGTAATATCGCAGGTGTCCAAGACGAGATGTCGAGAAGAAAGTCCTATAAGATCGTTAAATTTTCCACGGTACCTCTAGGTTAACTGCGAACCTTTGAAAAAATACTCGAGTCTCGTAGCACATTTTAACGTTAAACATTGAAATATTCAGCGTATAGAGAGCATTCGCCAAGAGAAATCATAATTATCTTTGGAAAACGACACCTCTAACCATATTTTGCTAGTTTCCTGTACTAGCAGAAACAAGAAACAATGTTTTACGAGAACGGTTGCATCGCGCGAGATGTGTCTCGAGGAAAATCGCGACGGTCTCGACAGAGGAAAATGTATCGTAAAAGCCACCGTTTGCGACGAAGGATGTGAAATCTTTTTCGTCATCCTGGTCACGAACGAGAGCTAGATCCATACGATCGACCTCCAGCCACCTCCACGTCGACGAGAATTGTTTCTCGTAAAACTAAAGCCAAGAAACGAACGACATTTACCTTTTGTGTTCGATCGAGTGCACTCGTTTTCGGTCGAGGCAAGTCTCAAAATACTAGCTAGTCAGTGTCGAATAGTGTGCAAACATTTCCGTCTATCATACACACATATCCTTCTGTAATAATATCAAAGTGTTTCACTTCAAGTGCACCAATGTGGAATCACGTTGGAACCGACTGCAACGATCTCCGAAGCAATTGTGTTCCACTTTGCTCTCGTTCTCCAGGGAAGCATATGGTTGGTAAACTCAAGACTCGCTCACCGGTGTCTCGGCATTAATCCAGTGCAACAGTGATTCGTCTATTCGTCTGTTCGTCTATTCGTCTATTTGTCGATCAGTTGATCCTAGTTACCAAACTACGAAGGACTTTATTCGTGGCATGAAATTGTAAACGTATTCAAGCTATTTTTAGCGACTTTGATCTCCATCCACCTTTCGAAGGCTTCTTTCACAGCATAAATGATATCCATCCTCCGTATCCGTTCTTATTTCAGAAACTAAACAGATATTACAGTAAACAGGCTCTCGGAGATAAGGTCCCTACTGCCTGGACGCTATTTATTAATGATTCCCGATGCTCCTCGAATACTGACACGTCCAGGTCGCACCCATAGGTATTTCGGTCTCCGAGATCGTTCGGACATGTTGGTCACGATTTGAGCGTGACATCCGGCGAATCACCCAGATCGTAGCCCTGAAACACTATGGTGGCCGAACTGACGGGCATTGCCGTTGGGAACGCGGAACGTAAAACAGCCACGGTTGATCCTGAGAAGCTCAGGTGCTCGTGGAAGCCTAATTCGAGGAACAGGCCCAGATGGATTCAAGCGGCGACGCGCGAGCCGATATACAGCGTCCTTGACAGCGACGAAACGCCGGCGGCGACGCCGACTGGCATTCTACCAGTAGGTGTCAAGAGCAAGGTAGTGGTGATCAGCGCAGTGAAAAGTGACAAACCGCGTAAAAACGACTTGGACGTACCCTCGAATACGCACAGGGAGCTACCCTACGTCTGGCTACCGACTGATTCTCAGAATAAAACTAACTTTCAGGGGAGCACTGTGCTCGACGCGGAGGACAACGAGCCTCTTTACAGCGTGGTGAAGAAGCCGAAAAAGGTTAAATTGCCAGAAATTCAAATTAACTCGCCGGAGAAGAAACTTGAGCCGATCAAGGATCGGTCGATTAACGACGAAAAGCATATCCACCTGGAGGGTCGTTCGCGGCAGGAGGAGTTGAAGAGGTGGCTGCAGGTAGCGTCGAAACAGCTTCCAGAGCCGCGACGTCTGTTCAATCTCGGTGAAATGTACCCCAGCCACATGGCTGAGCTAGATCGTCAGCAACTGGATTGGCAAAAGCCAGTTTCGATGCCTCGAGGGATCGTCGGTCTGGTTGGACCTTACAGGGTGTATCAGAATCCCAACGAAAGAAGGGAGTATATGCTCCAGGAGGAGGAACTGATAGAGGAAGTGGTCGATTCCGTGAGTGAAATCGCTACGCGTGAAGACAACGTCGCCGAGCACCATCGGAGAGCCAAATGGAGGATAAGGGAGGAGGACGAGGAGACCTTGGTGCCTGACATTCGCGATATCCCTGGCCTGGAGGATTTCGCGATGCAAACGGAGAACACGGAGATGTCCCAGTGGAAGAAGATCGACGACCAGACCACGATCGAGTACGATCAGAATGACGCCGACGCGTCCAAGACGATCCAGGAGGAATTCGAAGAAGGGAACCTCAGCGGCGTTGTATCTGGAAAGGAGGAACGCGCGGTTGACGTTCCCGAAGAACCATCCACTGCATCCACGTCGTCGCTGAATGAGAAAAAGGGTGAGATTGACGATGATGCTCTGTTGGCCAGTCCTTTGTACAACGTATCCTTAAAATCGTTTACGGTTTATGGAGTTCGATGCTCGACGGTTCCAAGTCGTGTCACCGTCGATGACTGGAAATCCTACAACATTTCTATTCCTTACGCTTTAGAGTCATTGGAATGGAGACACTTTCGGTGAAGGGAAACGGCGAGATTTCTGTTGACGATCCACGGAGCGAATCATTTACGCGATGAGACTGTCGCGAGATCCTCCGATAGCAATGGCACAACACGGCGCGGCGCGGCGCGGCGCGGCACGGTTTCGTTTATTAAGACGTCGGGAATTTGTATGCAAGATGCTCGTTCTTCGTCGTACGGTATTGCCTCGACGAAGAGGACCAGCTAGCGGTAGATACTACGTGGCTCACGTGCACGCGTCGATGCCTGAGTACGTGCTAGGTGTCTTTATTAGCCGTCTGACCAATATTCACCTGCATCGCGTTCTCGACACCTGATATCTAATTCGTGTCATTGTCTAACGGTATACCGATTGTCTGGCGCCTGCTGCTCCGTCGCGTCGTTCTTCCAGGCTCGGGCTGGAGATGCAGACGACATCTTTATTTGGTTAGAGAACGGTTTTGTTGGATACGATGATAGCTTGAATCCTCGAGAATCGCGTTAAAAATGGTTCAACTATTCATCATCGATCGATATAAAACATATTTTTTTAAGAAAAAATAGCACATCAGCAAGTTTGCAGCAAGTATTTCACCTCGTTTAAAGATTAAAAGAGTACAAGCATTCCATCGCGTAATTGTTGCCATATATTTCAGCGGCGAATGCAAACGTTCGAGTTCTCAGCGTACAAATTACACTTGGGGATACGTCGAACAGCTCCCATGAATCTCACAGTTCTGTTACTTTTTATCGCAGCAGTCCGTGGTAATGAATAGACGGTTCAACTTTCGCTGTTTTTACACATCTCGTCTCGTTTTCCTCTTTACAACGTGAACGTAAAAGATCGGTGCCGCGAATCTTTGATACAAACTTTTGCAAGTTTGAGAAAAAAATAAGCTAACGACTTCCCGACTATTCCTCTTGCGAAACGCCTGCCTTTACAGATTTATTATAATATTATAACGCGCGTCGAGATGAGAAGCTCGGAATAGTTGGCGTTCGAATTTTCATTCGAATTTTCTTTAATGAGATACGCGTTCGAAGGAACGATGATTTTCCGAGATAAAATGAGAGGCGGCGTTTCAGTGAGAGCTGCTTTTCCACAACACGTTCTACACCTACGGTCCTTATGGAATAACCATTACTCTGAAAATACTTTTCTATGCGTATGATTTTACGAGTTTCCTTAGAACACGAAAGAAAATCAGATCTGAATTTGTAGCA